GTAAATTTTCACTTTTTAAAGGCTGCTCAATGACTGATTTAAGGGTGTATGCAACAATATGGCAATAGTGAAAACAACCCCAGGCCACATAGATGGGTCAAATCGAGTTTGATTACCGGGGAAGTATTTAACATTCACACCTAACTCACTTTATTTGCTATTAATGTATCTTCTAATAGAACTACCTTGTACTCTATCTTATGCTCTAACCTTTCATACTGTTAGGCTGCGTCTTTCAGGCTCAAGTGGCTTTCCCAACTAAGATCTCTTCATCATTTCCTGAGTACCTGCCAAGGGCAGAGTACTAAAGTTAGTGCTCATGGAATACCGAGTGAGCCAGGAGCATCTGCCCTCGAGGAAATTTCACAGATGGGGCAAAAAAGATTCCAGGCAGAAAGGTAGCTCAAGCGTTACGCAGAATCGCACTAAGTGAAGTGCTAATACCAAAACTTGGAAATTCTGCTCCACAGGTCACTTGGTCCATTTCCCTTCTTAGAAATTCCCTGCACCGGCCCTGACTCCCCTAGTGAGAAGTCACCTTTACCTGACTCTGCTCCAGGTGACGATTTTCCTTTTCCTCCATCTCTTGCTTGATGCTGCTGGAGCCCAGTCCATCAGAACTCATCTTTCCGAGCCACTGGATGTTGGTCAAGCTGTTGTCAAGAGTGCAGCCTGCTGCCTCGCCTCCAGCTAGAGGGGAAACAATCCAAGATGCCACTTAGCTGCCTGATCCAGTATGTGGCAGGCCCATCAAAATCGGAGGTTGGGAAGCATCTCTCCAAGACCTCTACCCGTAGGGACAGGGATCACATGCTGAATCTATTGTGGCCCTCAGGTACTCTGCCCCATTAAGGATTTCAGGAGAAATTCAGGAGAGATCAGTCAAGGCAACCTTAACAAAGAGTGAGTATTTGCACAAAGTCACTTTTCCTCCTCATGCTTCAGTTTTCTCCTTTATTAAAATGGAGAAAGATTCCTATTTCCTTATACAGTCGATGGGGAAGATAACTAGCAAAAATAAATCCTTTCCTAATTTAAAGAAAGTAAGAGAAATGCTAAATTATAATTTGGGCACTTTAAACAGTGCCCAAAGGATCTGGGTCAAGGATTCGGGATGAAGAAAGACAAGACTTTCTCCTGGTTCAGCCTAGGGGCCTGTCTGTTAAGTATCAACCTGATGGACTGCAGTCCTTGCCACCAGAGAGGAAAGGCTGGGCTCCTCACCCCTTTGCCTTGCAGACCACATACCACAGCTCTCCCATCTCTGCCCGGGAAGGGCTCCAGGTGGTCTAGGAAGATTGACATCCCTAGCTGCAGGCTTTGGTCCCAGGGTCTCGGTGACCACTTCTGTCCTCTTGGGATCATTGCTGGTTTGGGCTTGAGGCTGGGGTCCTGGAGGGTGAGTGGGGGCTCCCCCACAGCTGATGAGGATGAATTTGTTGGGCCCACTGCTGCCACTCTCTTTTCCTTTGGCGGTCAATGCTGTGATGATGCTCTGGATATTGGCATTGTTAGGGACGGCCACCACTTGGGTGTTGGGCATGGTGGGGTGGTTAATGATCTTGATCCCAGCTGGAAACTTGCAAGAATTGGACTCTGCCGCCTCCTTGGAAGCCTGTGCTTGACCAGGCTCTTGTTGGGCAGGGGGCCTCTTAGGTTCCTCTCCTGATGTTTCACCTGGGGCATTTTGAATAGGAAGGGGCAGCCTCCGTCTTTTGAGAATCAGTGGCCGACGGGGGCTGGTTTTCATTATGAATCTGTGCTTTCACTCTCCATTGAGAATCACAAGCATGGGCCCTGGAAAGTGCAAGGAACAGCAGGATGTCAGAGATTTGTTAGGCTGAGAAGGAGGTACTGCTAGAGAGAGGCGTTCCTCTTTCCATGACCAAAAGCATGAGCCCACAGGCCCAGGTTAATGATCCCTGGGCCTCTGTAAAGACCTCAGACAATAAGGGGATGAGTTCTATGACAAAAGAAAGCTAAAACTGAAGCATTTCAAAAGGAGAAAGCGGGACTGGGTTGAAGGTAGGTCAACATGGCCAAAGGTCTTCCGGAAGCTTAAGAATGTTTGGCTACAGAAATGAGTGGGACAGTTATAAAAATGTGGAAATTTCTATTATTGCTTATTATACTACAGATCACTTGCAGTGACTCTAGGGACAGGAATGCTGGAATTGAGGACATTTGGCAATTTGAGGAGTCCGGACAAAACTCTGATCCCATAATCTATTTTATGATTGATAAAGCCTGTATATTTTTACACCATCTTAGTCTATAAATAAAAGGATCAGTGCCCATGGGATCAGAGGAGAAAGGCAAATTGCACTATCGTTCCCTTGCCATCATCTCCTACTTCACAAGACCTCAGAGAATACGGAAACTGCTCTAGTCAAGGCCCACGGGGCGATTCATCTCACAGGCTATTAACCTCGCACTGGTAAAAGAAAGAGTACACTTTTCTTTCACAATTTGCAAAATATTTCTATAGCGACATTCTAGTCCTTGTGTGTGTTTTTTCCTATTTTAACTTTCTTTTTTTTTTAAATTCTTTTTATTTATTTATTTATTTATTTATTTTTAAGATTTTTTATTTATTTATTTGACAGAGACAGCGAGAGCAGGAACACAAGCAGGGGGAGTGGGAGAGGGAGAAGCAGGCCTCCTGCGGAGCAGGGAGCCCGATGTGGGACTCGATCCCAGGACCCTGAGACCATGACTTGAGCCGAAGGCAGACGCTTAACGACTGAGCCACCCAGGCGCCCCTATTTTAACTTTCTAAGCATGTTACTCGACTCCTTGATTTCTCTTCCAGAACCAAGACTATAATCCCTATCTCCTGACCAATAGAATGTGCTGTCATCAATATGCTAAGGGGGTTCTGTCATGTTAAGGAAAATAGTTTTATCTTTAAAAAAACAAAATGTGTTTGTTGGGTGCCTGGGTGGCTCAGTCAGTTGAGCGTCTGCCTTCGGCTCAGGTCATGATCCTGGGGTCCTGGGGTTGAGCCCCACCTTGAGCTTCCTGCTCAGCAGGGAGTCTGCTTCTCCCTCTGCCCCTCACCCCGCTCTCGTGCTCTCTCTCTCGCAAATAAATAAATAAAATCTTTTTTAAAAATTTCGTGTTTGTTGATTTTAATAGATACATGGGATACTCTGCCATCATGTAAAATTGTGTAATCCTATTTAAAGGTACTTTGACAGAAGAATGTGCTGTCTGTGTTAGGACATCCACTATCTCCCTAAAAATGACTGTCACAGTCTGATGACATTTGCCATCTGCTTAGAGTTCATAGGCTCTCTCCACTCTGCCTCCTCCCTTTCCTTTATAACTAGGTTTCCTCTACTTTCAAATCTCAGTTTTATTTCTACCTCTTATCTCTTCAAGCCTCCCCCTGCCCCACCAGTGAGTAAATACTATTATTCCTTCCCCATCCCCCAAAGATATCTTCCTGGTCTAAGGCTTAATTTTGCTTTCAACTCTCTGACCAGTCTCTTCCTATCACGGCCAACACTTTAAGCTAGGGGACTTCCAGAGTGACCCCTCTGATGCCACTGTCCATCCTGACCACGGAAACTTTGCAGGTTCTCGGGAACCAGGAGAAAAGCCCTGGAAGAGGGTGGAGTGGAGGCAGTGCGGCTCAGTGGTGAGAGCGCTTGGGAGCTGGGGAGGGTGTGGGCAGGTTTGTCTTCGACTCAGTGCAGAATAAGCTCAATCTTCATGCCAGCCACAGTCTGCCTAGAAAAGTAGGCCACCCCAGCAGCCCTCCCGAGGTTGTGGGCAGGGCGCAGAGGTCAAACTTCCAGGGAAGGCCAAGAGGTGGTTTGAGAAAGAAGTGAGGACAAGGCCAGGAGGTTGGCTGGATGCAGAAAAAGTTTGCACCCTCTCTCAGCCCTCGTTCCCGTGTGGCCCCAAACCTCCACTCCCGTCCCGCGCCCTGCTGCTAGACCCCCCGACCTCGGCGCCCGAGCCCGGGCTCCCTGCCTCTGCCCGGGCCGGGGCTCGGACTCCATTCCTCCGCCCCCCGCTCACCTCCCGACTGCAGCCGCCGCCGAGGCTGGGCTGTGGCTCCAAGGGCGGGCTCCGGGCTCCTCCAACCTGGGGGCCGAGCCAGGGGCCCGGACAGAGACTCGCGCCAGGCCGGCCGGGTCCCCGGCGGTGCGGGAGGGGTGGGGAATCCCGGGGGATCCCGGGAGGGGAGGGGTCCCGGGCCGGGGGGCCGGGGGTGGGGTCGGGCACCGGAGCTTTCAGTTTGTTCCGCTGTTTGAAATTGGCGCCGGCGGAGCGTTGCGGTCACGTGACGGAGCGTCGCCAATCGGCGGCCGCCCTTGTCTCCGCGTTCCGGGCTCGAACGCTGCGGCGGCCCAGGGGAGCGGCGGCCGGGACGCCGCCGGGCGGGTAAGGCGGGCCGGCGGCCGGCTCGTGGGGAGGGGGCGGCCGTGGGCGGCCCGGAGGGCGCAGGAGGGGCCCCCGCGGCGGGCGGCGGGCGGCGGCCGGGGCGGCGGGGAGACGGCGCTGCCCGGGGCCGGCGTCCCCGGCCTGCGCTCCCTCGCGCGTTCCGGGTCGCTTCCCTGAGCCCGCCCTCGGCGCCGCTCCTCCCGCCTCCCTCGCCAGCCTCCGGCCTTTCTAAAGCCTCCCTGGCTTGGCTTCCTTACTTGAGGGAAACTACTCCATTCCCCTCCAACTAACGATCGTCTGGCCGCCTCGACTAGTCGACCGGCGTATCATCTTCAGCTTCCTCTTAAAAAAAAATTCCACGCCATGATAATACTTTATTAACTTGGTCGGCACATTTTGTTGAGCACCTACTATGTGCCAGGCCCTGCTAGGGTAACAGTGGTAGGGGAGCTTCTTTCCTTACCCTGTATACAGTCTAACGGGAAGAGAGGAGACCACAGACATTTTTGAAGAATCGAGTAAGCAAAAGGAGAATTATAGCTGCGAAGGGATAAATTAGAGGTCATTGATAACTGAGTATCTAAATAAGATCTTGCCTTCCGTAGGTCAGGAAAGGCTTTTCTGGAAGGAAGCTTGTTCTGAGGTCTGATGCCTTTGTGTAAAGAAGGGAGTGAACCCCGCAAAGCAAAAGGAAGAAGGTGTGCAAAGGCTGTGTGGGAGGAAGAAGATTGGGCTGTGCAAAGGCTGAAGAATATCTGAGGAGTCAGAGCTGAGAGGACCTGAATAGAGTGTGGTGTGAGATGAAGCTGGAGCCAGAGGAAATAGGACCTTAGCCATAACTGAGGAAGTTTGGTCCTTATCCAGAAATCAACAATTTTAAGCAGAAGTGAGTCAAGATCCGATTTGCATTTTTAAAAGGCTCCTCTGCAGGGGGTGCTGGAGTGGATTAGGGTAGACCCGTTTAGGCTATTGCAATACTCCAGACCAGAACTGCTGGAACTTGAAGGGTGGTGGGGAGAGAAAGATACCAAGAGAGAGGGGCCAAAGGGGCATTATTGAAGACATACTTAAGAGGTAAGATTGTCAGGGCTTGGTGGTGTTGGATGGGGACAGAAGTGGGGCATGTCAGGGTTTCTGGCTGCATAACTAGATGAAGGATAATACCCTGAGCAAGGACCTTAGAAGATAATCACCTGTGGAGCGGGTGCAGGGGAGATGATCATGAATTCAGTTTTAAATATGTTGAGTTTGAGGGCGCCTGGGTGGCTCAGTCGGTTAAGCGTCTGCCTTCGGCTCAGGTCATGATCCCGGGGTCCTGGGATCAAGCCCCGCGTCAGGCTCCCTGCTCAGCAGGGAGCCTGCTTCTCCCTCTCCCTCTGCTGCTCCCCCTGCTTGTGTGTGCGCTCTCTCTCTCACTCTGTCAAATAAATAAATAAATAAATAAAACAATAAAACCTTAAAGGAAAAAAAAAAGACTTGGAGTCAACTGGAAAATTTTAAATAAATAAGTTGAGTTCAAGGTGCATTTGAGACATCTAGTTGCTCTCAAGTAGGCAGTGGCTATGTGGGTACTGAGTGTAGAGAATTCTAAGCTGAGTGCATAAATACTTAAGTCATCCACTTGTAGGTGTGAGCCGATCATTGCCTAAGAAAGGTGTATAAAGCAAGGAAAGCTCCAAAACACAGTCAGAGGGAAGGGTTTTACAGAGCAAATGGGACTGACCTGTAATTATAGCATAAAGAGAATGGATGCAGATATATATAGGTTTGTATGTTGGTATCTGGAAAGAGAGCGTATTTTCTTTGATGTCTCCTGCGTTCTCTGTGAAGTAGGAAATAAGGTCATTTGTTAAGAGGGAAGGGGAGTTCTAAGGTTTTAAGAAAGTGGAAACATCTTAAGATAATCTGCGGATATTGAGTTGAAGGGAACATAGTAGGATTGCTGCTGAGCAATGTCGTGTCTGTTGGAGGCTGGCTAATGTCAACACTGACTGGAGGCATTGCTACTGCTGTCATCTCTCCACTGGATTCCTGCAGCAGCCCTTTAACTGGGTGCCCTGCTTCCTTTCTCCATGCCTGCTGTCCCCAACCCACCTGTTCTCACAGAGCGCCTAAAGTTCTCATTGTAGAAATGTCGCTTCCCTGTCCAGAGCCTTGCCGTGGCTTCCTGTCACACTAAGAATAGTTGAGTCCAGAGTCCTTAACGTTGCCTGTGAAGCCCTGTGTCACATGAACTGGTTCTCATCTGCTCTCCTTTCTTCATTTCAGGTCTTTGCTCAAATGTCACTTTTTTAGTCACCTTCCCTGACAGCCCTCTCTAAAAGAGCACTGAGTTGGCTCAACCCCTTATCCTGTTTGGATTTTCTCCATAGTCACTTCCCAACTAGGATATAAGCATCACGAGGGCAAGGATTTCATTTTGTTCTCTGGTATATATTTCCAGCACCAAGAACAGGGCCTAGTACTGCGGGCACTCAGTATTTGTTGAATGGCTGAATGAACGAACAAACAGCTGTGTGTATTACCTTTGTTATCCCTAAAAATGATTTGTCCTTTCTTTCTTCTTTACCTATATCACCACTGCCTAGTGACATAAGTCGGAGTATGTTACTTTTTACTGTTGACTAAATGAGTCATGAATTATGCGGTGGAACCAGTCTGCCCTGTTGTGGGACTTCGCTGGATGCTCAGCTGTACTTCCCGTGCACCTCTCCATTGCACGCAAACTTCTCTCCCACCCTTCCACTGATGAAGCTCTTATTAAAGTCGATCTGGTTACTAGAGTCAATGGACACTTTTTTCACTTTTTTCAGCCTGCTTATTACTCCAGGTCCTGTTGATCCTGCTTCTGTGTCTTGCCTCCCATTTCTGCCAACACAGCCCAGATTCAGACCTGATCATTTCTCACTTAAGTACCAGAGTAACCTCCTAAAACTGGTCCCCCTATTTCCAGAGTACTCCCTCTCTTTCCACACTGTTGCCAGGATCTGTCTTAAAAGACAAAAACAACCAATTAAGACATTTATGGAACAATTGAAAATTTGAACATGTCTGGATATTTGATAATATATTTTTTTATTTGTAAGAGAGAGCACAAGCAGGGGGAGCGACAGGCAGAGGGAGAAGCAGGCTCGCCTTTGAGCAGGGAGCCTGATTTGGGACTCGATCCCAGGACCCTGGGGTCATGACCTGAGCCAAAGGCAGACCTTTAACCCTCTGAGCTACCCAGGCATCCCTGGATATTTGATAATATTAAGGAATATATATATATATATGTTGTATTAATGGGGATGGTATAATGGCTGGGAATATTCATCTTTTCTTCATAATAATATAGGGGTAGGGGAAGTGGATAAAGGGTGTGGATGGATCCTGATTGGCTTTGGGCTGATGTTGGAACTGGGTGATGGGTACACGGGAGCTCATATTATTCATTCTCCTTTTGTGTATGTTCAAAATTATATGGAGGGAAAGTTAAAAAAAACTAAGTGTTATCGTATCGTTCTGCTTGAAAATCTTCAGTGACTACTTAGGCTAGAGTCCAAACACCTATGGTACACCTGCTTTTTCTGACCTGACCCTGACACCGGGTCCAGTCTCTGAGGTCTTGCATTTGTCTTTGCATACGCTGTGTCCAGCTCCATGGAGCCTGTGATACTTGAATTCACAGTCTTGTCTCCGTGCCTCTGTATGTGCTGTTCCTCAGCCTGGAGTGCCTTGCTCTCTCTGCTCTCTGGCTTTCCTTATCCCTTCCGTACTAGGTCAGGTATCACCCTCTCTAGAAAGGCTCCCCTGGGGTGAGTGGAAGCATTCTTCCCATTATCGGAATTGTCTGTCTCCCTCTGCTAGCCTCTCAGCACTTTGAAGACAGGGACAGTCTCTCTTATGTGTCCCTACAAGCGCTTGGCACTTGATAAATGATTGTAGAATCAGTGGTTATTCATCTTTAAATTCCCAACACCCAGCACGGTGCTCAACACGTGCTCGATCAGTGTGCATCGGATGAATGCTGTTGACCGGGAACTACTGTGTATTTACTTGGTGGTGCAGGGATAGAAGCTGTACCCCCCCCAGTGTGGAGGTAGGGGTGATAGTTGATAGTAGAACTGGTTGGCAGAGGATGAGCAAGAGCTGGGGACGGAATCATCAGAATTGCCTCCCAGCTTTTGTTTTTTTTCTCTGCAGGCATGGGTTGGAATCGGAGCCTGAACCCCGACCTGACAACAACCAGCATCATGTGGTTACTAATTTTAACTGCTCTTCATTCACCTATTGATGCCTCCCAGAAAAAAACGCCGCCAGCCTTCCCAGAAAGCCCAGCTGCTATTCCAAGAACCACCACTGGAGGGCCCCAAACACCATTATGGCTCTCCCCAGCTTACCATCACCCACACTAGACAGGTGCCCAGCAAGCCCATTGACCATAACACCGTCACTTCCTGGGTAGGCCATGGGATTCTTACTTTGACTTTTGCTCTGTTAGGCTTTGCAGAAGGCTGCCTCTTCTGCCCCTCAAACCAGGGCCTCCAAAGATTCATGGGGGCAGGGACAAGAGGCGGTGTATTTCTGTCATCAGCCATCTTCTCGGGGATATCTTCTTTTCTAAGTTCAAGCTGAGGCAAGGGCTGGTTGGAGTTGGAGTCTTTCTCCCCACATTCTTCTTAAAGAGTTCAGTATAAAAGTTTCATTACTCGGTAGCTCAGTGAAGAAGCCAGATAAATGGCCGAATGAATAAAAAATGAGATTGTTCCCCAAGCGTCACTTGAGAGGTAAACTATTTAGCTCGGTACTATATTTATAGTTTAATAGAGTGAACCTGGAAAAAACCCAACAGAAATGGCATGTCGTATTTTGACAGTTTCAAGGCCCTAGAAAGAGAATATAGCTACTGTCAGGAAAATGCTATAGCCAGAGGGCCAGACAAAAGCATAAACTTCACTTTATTAAGAGTGCTTAATAAATATAGCTTGTTCAGGATTGCTTGGAAGAACCATGATACTTGCTTTGGGATTGTAGAAGAAACTGAAATGTTAGAATCCCATGGATGAGAAGAGGAATGAACACTTATTGAGGACTCATCATGTGTCAGGTCTTAATGCTAGTTGCTTTCCATACATGATCTCACTCCCTATTCTTGCACTCAGCATTCACTCTACTGGGGGCCTTCTTCGTGCCAGGCACTCTGCTAGGTGCTGGGCATCAAAGGTGAGGAAGACTGCTGGTCTTTGCCCTCAAAGTTTAAAGATAGTTAAACAAGTTGCAGCTGTATGGTATGATAAAGTGAAGGAGGCATTGTCCCCTTTCTTACACACAAGGAAACGGAAAGCCAGAAAGATCAAATTACTTGCCCGAAGCTCATATCCCTTTCTTTTAATATCCCATTAGACAAATACTTTGTTTTGTGTCCATTACTATAGTGGGCCCCCATTTAGAATTCTGGTCCTTGGATATAGTTTCCTCCCTCAGGTTCGTTCATACTTGGTAGGTGGCTCTCCTCACTTCTTTTTGGTTTTTGTTTTTGATCCTTAAGGTATCACCTCAGTTTGATACGACAGCAGAAAGCTGGTTCCCTGTGAACCAGAAATGTCATCGTCGAAACCAGGCAAGACATGCAAGTCGAAAATCTACCGCCTCGAAGTTCCCACATCTAACATTTGACAGTCCACTGTCTTCCTCCTGTTCAGCCACACTTGGGATCCCCTTAAGCAGGGAATGCCCCGGTCAATCAGAAAAGCGCATTTCCGGAAGGCCCTTAGTTCCAATGCTCAGTCCTCAAAGCTGTGGGGAAGTGTCAGTACATGCGCTTCAAAACTTACCTTATGTATTCATTCCCCCCGATATCCAGACCCCAGAGTCATCGTTTGTGAAGGAGGGGCCCATTCCCCCAGATCAGAGGGAAAGTAGCCTTCCGAGCTGCTCCTTCCACGCTAGTACTCCCAAGAGCCCAGAGCCTGGGCCTGTTCTAGTTGAAGACACTCCCGAGGAGAAGTATGGGATCAAGGTCACATGGAGGAAACGATGCCACTTGTTTACTTACCTCAGGGAGAGAGGGAAGCTGAACAAAAACCAGTTCCTTGTGAAAAACTCACTGGATTTCTCCGACACCAGCAGTCTCAAGAAATTTTCATAAAGTTGCTAAAGTACTTTTCTGGCTCACAGGAGAGTACATCAGGAGAATAAAATGGAAATAATACCAATAACCTCAATAGAAAAAAAGATGTTTTAACTAGAACCTTGGAGTCATAAGGGAATTCAGTTCCCAGATTTGCTTTTTAAGATGTCTTTTCAGTGTCATAAACAGTTCATATTTTTCTTAACATTAACTGTCTAAAATTTTAAAGTATCTTATAGTGACTTTTAAAATGTATGTAAATAAATGGTTGCAGAAAGGTTTTAGAGAACCCTGCTTCTGATTACCGATCACGCAGCAATATTGCCTTCTCCACAAAAGGTCTTTCTTCGTTGTTTTTTAAAAACTACTAATTAATCCTCTAATCACCTCATCCAAACTAATTCATTCCACACTTTTGAGTACCAACTCTGTGTCAGGCTCAGCAGCAGCTTCCTTTATGACATGATGGACAGGAAAAATAAAAGCAAACTCTGTGAAAAAAAAAAAGTTAGACTAAACTGCACTGTATTCTAGGAAAATTTTTAAGCTCACAGACCTTTTATTTTTGTATGTTCTCCCCATGGTAAGGGATGACTGCTTCTGTAAATTTGTACTCATTAAATGTTATTTTAAAAATATGTTCCAGTTTGTTTAATTCCAGTTTTGACTCATCAGCATTCCAAAAAAAAAAAGATTAAAAGCTTTTAAATCACAGCAGTTCCAATATCTGGAAGTAAAAATACCTCCCTTCAGGCATAAGGAAAAGGAGAGGCAGTACATGAGCTTAAAAGCATATAAACAGATTTGCAGCTTCGTGCAGTATATGCTTGAGCTCAGCAGTGGGTGCACTCCAATATCCTCTGTGTCTCACTTTTATCCTCAGAGAGGGGAGAGTATCAGCTGGCCAAAACAGAGGTAGGGGTATATTATCCCACAATGGACTTTGGTAAGAAGTCGAAAAAAAAAGCTTTCCTTCGTCCAGGTAGATGCTGCCAGGACGGCGCTAATGACTTCACTAACGGACTGACTTCAGGTTGGATTTCAGCCTGCAGACCAGACATTAAATGTCCTGCACAACTGGACAGCCACAGCCCTGATGGGCATGATCATTCTTTCAAAAGCAAGATAAAAACTGATAAATAAATAGAGGCTAGCAAGCTGGAGAAAGCTAGAAGCAAATAGCAAAGCCCTTACTCAAAAGCTACTTCAATTAGAAATTGCACTAAAAGCTCTTCATGCATTAATTGTTCAGGGACCACAAAAGAGCCATGATGATGATGAAAGTGTATAATGAATTTTACCTGTAGGGTCCCAGAAGATTCTGGACCTCCCCCCAAAGTCAAGGTGGAATGGCCATCAAGGTGCTGGTTTTATTCTCCATCCCCCGAACCAGTATCCACACCACCTGTCCACTGCACACTCACGCTCCAAACATACCCTTGCAGGATCCTACTCCAATTCTCTATAATAAGTTAAAATTACAGTGTAGAAAAATCCTCTACTCTTCTAAAGATTTGTTCAGGAGAATTTAGGAAAAGAGCGTGTTAGTTACTCTCCTAGGCACTGCCTTTCCTCAAACTCAAGCCAAAGCCCTGAGAGTTCCAGGCCAAAATGGCAAGCTGGG